AGGGTCTTGCTCTCTCACTCAGGCTGCAGTGCAGTGGTGCGATCATGGCTCATTGCAGCCTCAAACTCCTGGGCTCAAGTGGTACTCCTGCCTCAGCCTCCTAAGCCCTGGCTTAGCTGATGACTTCAAGTTGAAGCCAGCACTCATTTCCCTTCCTACTCTGCTTATACTCTCTCTGTGGAACAACAAAGCCTGGGTGACAGCAAGTCTGTTTTCGGCATGGTTGACTGAATATTTTAAGCCCACTGTTGAGATCTACTGCGCAGAAAAAAAGATTCCTTTCAAAACATTGCTGCTCACTGACAATGCACCTGGTCACCCAAGAGCCTGATGGAGATGAACAAGGACGTGAATGTTGTTTTCATGCCTGCAAACATAGCATCCATCCTGCAGCCCATGGATCAAGGAGGAATTTCAACTTTCAAGTCTCATTATTTCAGAAATACATTCGAGCCAGGCATCGTGGCTCACCCCTGTTCCCAGCACTTTAGGAAGTAGAGGTGAGAGGATTACCTGAGCCCAGGGGTTCCAGACCAGCCTTGACAAGACCTCGTCTCTACAATAAATAAAAAAAATTAGCCAGGTGTGGTGGCACACACCTGTGGTTCCAACTACTTGGAAGGCTAAGGCAGGAGGATTGCCTGAGCCCAGCAGGTCAAGGCTGTGGTGGTCATGAGCATGCTACTGCTCTCCAGCCTGGGTGACAGAGTGAGACGTCGACTCAAAAAAAAAAAGGAAGTGAAGCCTAAAGAGAGGACTGAATCTCAGCAATCTCATGATCACATTTGAGTGAATGAGGAGTTGATTCTCACAGATGAGCAAGGAGAGTGGAGGATCGCCGGAGCCCAGCAGGTCGAGGCTGCGGTGGCCGGAAATGGTCACTGCACTCCAGTCTGGGCAACAGAGTGAGACTCCAACTCAAAATAATTAATTAATTAATTAATTAATTAATTAAAATATCACATAAACTCAGTTGATAAAGCAGTGGCAGAGTTACAGTGGACTGACTCCAGTTTTGTTTTGCTTTTACTTTTTTGAGTCATGGCTGCAGTCCCAGCTGCTCAGGATGCCAAAGCAGGAAGATTGTTTGAGTCCAAGAGTTCAAGACTGCAGTGAGCTATGATCCCTCTACTCTCTAATCCTAGCACTTTGGGAGATCGCTTGACCTAGGAGTTCAAGACCAACCTGTGAACAGAGTGAGACCCTGTATTTACAAAAAGAAAAAAAATCTAAAAATTATCCAGGTATGGCTGTGTGCACCTGTAGTCCTATCTATTTGGGAGGCTGAGGCAGGAGAATCATGGAGCCCAGGAGCTCAAGGCTGGGTTGCCGTTAGCTGTGATCGTGCCACCACACTCTAGGCTGGGTGGTGACAGTGAGAATCCAACTCAAAACACACACACACACACACACACACACACACACACACACACACACAC